TATAGGAGTGTGTATTTTTTTGTACCAAAATCTTTTGCTGCCATCCTCTGGCGATGACAAATATTACTCCTTTACTCCAAACCTTGGATTTTATTTTACTATGAGACTGCATTATATGGTAGTGTAGATAGGGTCTAAATTTGTCTCAATTATCCAGCAGTCCAAAGAGGGAACTTTTATAAGCTCCCCCTCCAAAAACAACAGCAGCAACCACCACCACCTAGTACAAATCTTAAATAATAAAAGAACTATAATATATTGTATCAATCAATGTGGCCAGGAAATAAATGTTAAATACATATTCGAAACTTCAGGTTGCCACATGCTATATAGATCATTATTTCAAAAGCAATGTCCATAAGATGTAGGAAACTCATCCATAGACATCAAACCCAATTTTCTGCAGTTTCTGAAGGTATTTCTGTCATTTATATCAGCAGTTTTTACAATATTTATTATAGAAAAGGAAGGAATATTTCTGCAGCAAAGAGAAATTATATATATTATTATCATCTTCCTCATTAAAATAACAGTAGACTCTCAGTTAACCGGAACCCATTGGGATTGGTAGATGCTAGGTAAATGTAATTTCTAGTTGCATGAGAGTTACAATTAAAAATAGGTGTAACTAATATGATACCTCATACATAAACTCTGTATTGACCTGGTATTAATATTGAAATGCACTAATTAAAGCAAACTAAGACTAATGTAAGGTAGTATTTCCACTAAAAATATTTTAATTTTGATGTAAAGTATGATTTATTCATTTTTAACATTATTTTTACTTGAGTTCCAGTTAACTGAGAGGCCCCATCTACACTGCCATATAATGCAGTTTCACAACAAAGTTTTACTACATTACATGGCAGTGTAGACTCATATAATGCAGCTCAATTCAGTTAAGCTGCCTTATGAAACTACATTATATGGCGGTATAGATGCAACAGGAGTCAACTTTGCTCATTATAATGTACATATCTAACACTAGAATCCTTGAACTCCTATCTGAAGATGATCCCAACTGAGTTCAATCTGCTTTATTTCTGAATAGACATAAACAAGGTTTTATTAACAGTTGCTAAGGCTTTAAAGTGTGTGTGTGTGTCCGTCCTAAGGCTAAAAGCTGATTTCTTGAAGTGAAATAGGACATTGGAGGTTGAATAATTCTAGCTTTGTGCTGTACTTGAGATCAGACAGAAACCAAGCACAGTTGGTGGGGACGAGGGAAAGGGCCTTCTCAGTGGCAGCTCCCCGGCTCTGGAATGTCCTCTCCAAAGAGATCAGACTGGCTCCCACACTAATGAAATTTAGGAAAGAATTAAAAACTTGGCCATGGAAGCTGACCTTTGAGAATGACTAATGCAATTTAATGATGGAGGATTTAAATGCTAACTGGTTTATTGTTTTAAGAAGGGTCGGGTTTGTAATCCTTTAAATCTCAGTATATGTTTTAACTGTCACATACCTCCTTGTCCATCGGTGACACCCTTAGGCATTTTATTAATATGTTTACGTGTTTTTATGCTTTAAATATTGTGTAATTTAAGTTTAATCTGTCTGTATTTTTATTATGACTACATTGTGTTTTTAATGTTGTAAGCTGCCCTGAGACCTTTTGGGGACAGGGGATGACATATAAATAAAGATTATTATTGGGTTGTTGTAGGTTTTGTGGGTTAAATAGCCAGGTTCTAGAAGCATTCTCTCCTGACGTTTTGCTTGCATCTATGGCAGGCATTCTCAGAGGTTGTAATATAAAAATACATTACAATATATATCAGATATATAAATCCAATTTTCCTAGTTTTCAATAGACTTCACAGCCTCTGAGGATACCTGCCATAGATGCAGGGGAAACGTCAGGAGAGAATGCTTCTAGAACATGGCCATATAGCCCAAAAAACCTACAACAATCCAGTGATTCCAGCCATGAAAACCTTCAAAAATACAAAGATGATGATGATGATGATGATGATGATTATTATTACCATCTCCCTAAGGCCCCTTCCACATAGCTGAATAAAATCCCACATTGTCTGCTTTGAACTGGATTATATGGCATTGTGGACTCAGGGACCTTCCAGATAGGCCCTATATCCCAGGATCTGATCCAAGGTTTCCTGCTTTAACCTGGATTATATGAGTCCCCACTGCCAGATAATCTGCAATAAGCAGAAAACTTGGGATCAGATCCTGGAATATAGAGCCTGTTTGGAAGGACCCTCAGATAACCCAGTTCAAAGCAGATATTGTGGGATTTTCTGCCTTGATATTCTGGGTTATATGCCTGTGTGGAAGGGCCCTGAGAGAAAGAGAGAAAATAAGATGTAGCTACACCATGGAATTAATGCAGTTTGACGCCACTTTAACTGTTATGGCTCAGTGCTATGGAACCTTGTAGTTTGGTGAGAGAGGGGCCTTCCACACAGCCCTATATCCCTGAATATCAAGGCAGAATATCCCACATTATCTGTGTGTGGACTCAGAATTTTAATTATCGTGTCAGAAGCGAACCAAACAGTTGTATTGCATTAAATAAAAACAAAAAGACAAACAAACAAACAAAACAAAAGTTTGCAAACTTGGCATTCTATTAAATGTCCTTTGACCAGTAGCTGGTCACTTGGAGTGCCTTTGGTGTTGCTATAAGAAGGTCCTCCATTGTGCATGTGGCAGGGCTCAGGTTGCATTGCAGCAGGTGGTCTGTGGGTTGCTCTTCTCTGCAGTGGTATGTCGTGGACTCCAGTTTGTGGCCCCATTTTTTAAGGTTGGCTCTGCATCTCGTGGTGCCAGAGCGCAGTCTATTCAGCGCCTTCCAAGTCGCCCAGTTTTCTGTGTGCCCAGCGGGGAGTCTCTCATTTGGTATCAGCCATTGTATGCAGAACACATCATGCAATATGCGGGGCTTGATGAATGCAAAGCTGGGGTAAAAATTGCTGGAAGAAACATTAACAACCTCAGATATGCAGATGACACCACTTTGATGGCCGAAAGCGAGGAGGAGCTGAGGAACCTTCTAATCAAGGTGAAAGAAGAAAGCGCAAAAGCTGGGTTGCAGCTAAACATAAAAAAACCCAAGATTATGGCAACAAGAATGATTGACAACTGGAAAATAGAGGGAGAAAATGTGGAGGCAGTGACAGACTTTGTATTTCTAGGTGCAAAGATTACTGCAGATGCAGACTGTAGCCAGGAAATCAGAAGACGCTTACTTCTTGGGAGGAGAGCAATGTCCAGTCTCGATAAAATAGTAAAGAGTAGAGACATCAGACTGGCAACAAAGATCCGCCTAGTCAAAGCCATGGTATTCCCTGTAGTAACCTACGGATGTGAGAGCTGGACCTTAGGGAAGGCTGAGCGAAGGAAGATCGATGCTTTTGAACTGTGGTGTTGGAGGCAAGTGCTGAGAGTGCCTTGGACTGCGAGAAGATCCAACCAGTCCATCCTCCAGGAAATAAAGCCCGACTGCTCATTGGAGGGAAGGATACTAGAGACAAAGTTGATGTACTTTGGCCACATCATGAGGAGACAGGAAAGCTTAGAGAAGACAATGATGCTGGGGAAAATGGAAAGAAAAAGAAGGAAGAGGGGCCGACCAAGGGCAAGATGGATGGATGGCATCCTTGAAGTGACTGGACTGACCTTGAAGGAGCTGGGGGTGGTGACGGCCGACAGGGAGCTCTGGCGTGGGCTGGTCCATGAGGTCACGAAGAGTCAGAGACGACTGAACGAATGAACAAAAAAAAATTGATTGAGGTTCTGGGTTTGAGCCTGTCCCTTTTGGACTCTCGCTTGCTGAGGTGTTCCAGCGAGTGTCTGTAGATCTTAGAAAACTATTTCTTGATTTAAGTCATTGGCGTGCAGGCTGATACCCAAACAGGGGGTGGGGTGGAGATGTCACTGCCTTGGTCCTTTCACTATTGGTTGCTACTTCCCAGCGGATGTCAGGTGGTGCAATACTGGTTAAACAGTGTAATTTCTGCAGTGGTGTAGTGGTGTAATTTCTCCAGTGGTGACACCTTGTGAGGATGCAACATTTCTCATTAAGAGCCACATCCACTGTTTTAGTGTGGTGAGATGTGTTCCACACTGGGCATGCATACTCAGAAGCAGAGTAGCAAAGCGCAAGGGCAGATGTTTTCACTGTTTCTGGTTGTGATCCCCAGGTTGTGCCAGTCGAGAAACAACCAGAAGTGGACTCAGATTACCCAGTTCAAAGCAGATATTGTGGGATTGTCTGCCTTGAGATTCTGGGATATAGGGCTGTGTGGAAGGGCCCATAGCGAGAAGGCTAAAGGCTTTGTGAAACTTGCAACTTCCATGGTTCTACCTAAGGGTTAAAAAAAACCAAGATTATGGCAACAAAAATGATTGACAACTGGGAAATAGAGGGAGAAAACATGGAGGCTGTGACAGACTTTGTATTTCTAGGTGCAAAGATTACTGCAGATGCAGACTGTGGCCAGGAAATCAGAAGACGCTTACTTCTTGGCATCCTTGAAGTGACTGGACTGACCTTGAGGGAGCTGGGGGTGGTAACGGCCGACAGGGAGCTCTGGCGTAGGCTGGTCCATGAGGTCACGAAGAGTCGGAGACGACTGAACGAATGAACAACAACAAACCTAAGGGTTCATCCACATAGCCATATAACCCATAATATCAAGGCAGATAATCCCACAATATTGGTTTTGAACTGTTATTTGAGTCCACACTGCCATATATCCCGGTTCAAAGCAGATATTGTGGGATTTTCTGCCTTGATATTCTGGGATATAAGACAGTGTGGAAAGGCCATGAATCTAGCTGTCTTCCAGCCTTTTACAATGAATGGAGTGAAAAGAAGGCCTGAAGGGGGAGCTAGAGAAACAGGCTGAGGGCCTTTACTGCGTCAAATAGCATCCTCTCCTCCACACCTGTCTGCCTGAGCAGAGGAGGGGGTGTGGCTCGGTTTCCACGGCAACGGCGCCTCTGCTCTGTGCCGTCAGAGGTGGCGTAGTCGCGGTTGCTAAGCAACCCCTCGGGCGGAGCGGCCTAGCAGCAGTCCTGAGGCGCTGCGTAGACCTGGAGCTGGGGCAGGGACAAGGCAAGACCGGGCGCTGCTCAGCCCTCTCTCTCGCCCGAGGCAAGAAAGACCCTTCCTGCGACGCGAGGTACAGAGGTGGGCTGGAGGCGGGGAGCCCAGGCCTACCGGGCATCTACACTGCAGCTTGGCACCGCTTCTTGACGCAATGCGTTGATATCATGGGAGTTTGTCGCTCTATAGAGTGGTGGTGCCTCATCAGACTACAACTCCCATTCATCCATATCATTGCACCATGGCAATTAATTCAAACTGTGTTAAATTATATTGATTCTATATAGTGTTGAGCAGGCATAGCCCAGGTTTTTTGGACTCCAACTCCCACAATTCCTAACAGCCACCTTCATAGAATCAAAGAGTTGGAAGAGACCTCATGGGCCATCCAGTCCAACCCCCTGCCAAGAAGCAGGAATATTGAATTCCAAACACCCCTGACAGATGGCCATCCAGCCTCTGTTTAAAAGCTTCCAAAGAAGGAGCCTCCACCACACTCGGGCAGAGAGTTCCACTGCTGAACAGCTCTCACAGTCAGGAAGGTCTTCCTCATGTTCAGGAATATCCTTTGTTGTAGTTTGAAGCCATTGTTCCTTGTCCTAGTCTCCAGGGAAGCAGAAAACAAGCTTGCTCCTTCCTCTGTATGACTTCCTCTCACATGGCTGTCTACCACCATGTCCACACTACACCATGCGGGTTCTCTTCTATACATACTATATCTATCTAACCACCCATCCATCTTACATACAGGACAGTTTGGAAAACTGCACTACACCATGCTGTTTCTCTTCTATACATTATACATGGCTATTATATCTCCTCTCAGCCTTCTCTTTTTCAAGCTATGACCCACAAGCATGCCCCACTCTTTAAGTCGCTCCTCATAGGGCTTGTTCTCCAGACCGTTGATCATTCTAGTCACCCTCCTCTGGACACATTTCAGTTTGTCAATATCTCTCTTCAATTGTGGTGCCCAGAATTGGACACAATATTCCAGGTGTGGTCTAACCAAGGCAGAATAGAGGGGTAGCATTACTTCCCTAGATCTAGACACTATGCTCCTATTGATGCAGGCCATCAATAAAAAAAATTGTCCGTTACAAATTGTTGGAGTTGCAGTCCAAAACACCTGGAGGGCTGAAGTTGGCCCATGCCTATTCAACACTATATAGAATCAATGCAATTTGACACAATTTGAATTAATTGTCAAGGTGCAGTGCTAGACTGGGGCACTTTCATCCATTTCTCTTTCATACGAGTCATTCAGAAGGAGTTGCCATAACCTCCCTCTGAGGCTGAGAGTGTGTGACTTTCCCAAGGTCACCCATTGGGTTTCCGTGACTGAGTGGGGATTCAAACCCCAGACCCCAGTGCGCAAACGATGAAATGAAAGCTTTCCACACCTTTTGTGTTAGTGACATGCTCTTTCGACAGGCATCATTTCATGACACAGTGACTGAGTTTTTACTAGCAAACTGGATCTTAAACCAACCTCTTTGAATGCGATTTCCCTGCTTCTTGGCAGGGGGTTGGATTGGCTGGCCCACGAGGTCTCTTCCAACTCTATGATTCTACGTATGTAAATTGTAATAACGGAAGGTTTGGGGGTATATCATCTCTCATAAAACCCTCTTGTTTTTTAAAAAATATATGATTTCTAAGATTTCCAAGATTTTTGCCATTAAATTTGTGTGACACACCAAAGCACTCTAATAGGTCACACACACAGTTTGGAAAGCTCCGCACTACACCATGCTGGTTCTCTTCTATACATACTATATCTAACCACCCATCCATCTTACATACAGTACAGTTTGGAAAACTGCACTACACCATGCTGGTTCTCTTCTATAAATTATCCATCCATCTTTACATACATAGTTGGAAAGCTCTGCACTCCACCATGCTGGTTCTCTTCTATACAGACCCTCTCTATCTGTCTAACCATCCATGTGTACATACAGTACAGTTTGGAAAGCTCTGCATTACACCATACTGATTGTCTTCCATACATTAGCTGTTCATATGTCTGTCCATCTGAACATACACAGTTGGAAACCTCTGCACTACACCATGCTGGTTCTCTTCTATACATACTATATCTAACCACCCATCCATCTTACATACAGTACAGTTTGGAAAACTGCACTACACCATGCTGGTTCTCTTCTATAAATTATTTATCCATCTGCACACACACAGTTGGAAAGCTCTGCACTACACCATTCTTGTTCTCTTCTATACAGATTTTATCCATCTATCCATCCATCTGTACATACAGTAGTTTGGAAAGCTCTGCATTACACCATGCTGGTTCTCTTTTATACATTATCAATCCGTCCATCTGTACATACACAGTTGGAAAGCTCTACACTACACCATACTGGTTCTCTTCTACACTGACTCTTATCTATCCATCTACCTATCTGTAGACACATATGGGTCAAATCCTGTTGCTACCTGCCAGATTGAGGAGACCCACTGAATCAAGGGGATTTACTTATATCTTCACTCACCACTGAGCAATTGATGTCTAAGGGCACTTCCACACAGCCCTATATCCCAGAATATTGAGGCAGAAAATCCCACAATATCTGCTTTGAACTGGGTTATCTGAGTCCACACTCAGATAATGTATCCTTAATATTCTAGAATATGGGGCTGTGTGGAAGGGCCCTAAGGAATTGGATTTTGTCTCAGGAATGCTTCTGTGCATGTTTCATTGGCAATAAATGCTATCAAATTCAGTATGACCTATTTTCAAGTAAAGGAACTTTTACTCTCCTAGTTAACCAGCAGGTGGCAATTTCATCTTAGAGTTCCTGATTATAGAATTAATGCAGTTTGATGCTATGGAATCATGATAATAATAGTTTGGTGAGGCACTATTTGACAGGGTGGCTAAAGACATTGTAAAACTACAACTCCCATGATTCCATAGCACTGAGCCAATTCTGTTCATTAATTCTACAGTGTAGATGTACTCCTAGTTGTTCCTCAAAGATTTTGGATAGTCATTGTTCATGTTGGGCACAGTGAGATTAATACAGATACTGCAAGAAATTAAAATTTTATGCCAAAATGTGAAACATATTTTATATTCTTAAACGCCACAATTCAAGAAAAAATACAGTTGTGTTTTACATCTTCTGCTGTGTTGCCCATACTTCTGAGCATACACTAATGAGAAAAACAAGAGAATATATTACATATTTAATTTTAAAAGTTTTAATTAAAACATGTTTCTAGTCCTCATGATTACTGTTAAAAAACACAAAGTGATAGTGTTCTTGGAGGAAATGAACAGATTTTTCTTGTGATATCTTCTGTCCATACATTCACCATATCTTACACTGACAGACAGACCACTGTCCATATAGCACTACGTATAGGAACATTGCACAACTTTGTATTTGCGAATATTTTGATAGCAATTCCTAAAATATCATATATTCTATAGTTTTAGCAGGGGCTGATGGTGGGTGCAATGCATAATATCTGGAGGACTCTTGGATGCGGAGAGTTGGCCTATAATGTCCGGCACCAGGTTCCTACATAACTGGGGTCCCATTTACCTTTTTAATGCAGTTCAAAGCATTAAATGGTCAGTTCCATCAATTTGTGGCAGCCAGACAACTAGGGCCACAGTAGTGTGCAAAAGCCTTTAATGCACATAAGTGTTCTGTAGTTTGTGCAATCACCATCTGGGTGTCAAACTGGATCCTGGGTTTCCTATGCAATCATTTGTACAGAAACAACTTTATTCAATACCTATTTGAAGTTGCATTGAATGGTCTGTGCAGATGAGGCCTGACAGGACTTGCCTTACTTGAATATGCCCCCCCCCCCCCCCCCCCCCCCCGGCTACATGCCTGAGTGTGGATATGCTATTGTGTGTTTTGTTTGTCAGGGAGAGTCATTTTTGCACATATGCTGCAGCATCTTTTTGCTTTTTTTGGCTTTTTAAGTCCCTTCTGCTGAGTGATGGTCACTCGTAGGCCTGAGAGGTGTATTGTGACCAAATTTGGTGTCAATTCATCCAGTGGTTTTTGAGTTCTGTTAATTCCGCAAACGAATGTTACATTTTTATTTATATAGATGGAATTAGAGAACTGTCAAACTTGAATTGTTATCTGTGTAAACTTAAGCTTAGTATAGTGCACCTAAAATTGGAAGGAAACAAAGATATTTGTTTACACATTTGAAAGGGACTTATAGCCATGTCTTATCAGTTCCTCTAGCAATTACAATTGAAACATGCTGAGAAAGTATGCCCCTTAGTCAAATATTTGCTGTTTTTAGGGTGAGAAAGGTCTTTCCTCAAAATAATTTCTATTTCAACTATGATTTTTCTGATCTACATTCAGCCAGAAGAGGTGCCTACGCTGGATCACAATTTGAGCATATAAGATTAATTTTCTAAGATCACTTAACATGTCTGATGAAGACAGTTTCAGCACCTTAGCCTACAGTAAGAGTCCAAAGTTCTCCAAAAGAACCACTTTTCAGGTAAACCTTTTAGATCTCCAATTGATGTACAGAATGGTCTTTACAATGAACTGAAATAAATTTCTCTACCATGTTAAAATTATCATCTTTGCCTAGAATATTTATGTATCATTATTTATGAAAGGCGATATGGTGAGTAAGGAATTAAGATGTTTAACTAAGACCTTGGTGGTAGATTTGATCACAAAGCTAGCAATACTAAATTGTATTTCTTTGGTGTCATTCACTTTATTTATGGAAAAAAAATATGCCCTGTGAATTCCATATGATAATTGGTCCTGTTTACAGTGCTGGAATTGTCTCTTAAATCTTTAAAAACATTTATGTTATATGGAATTAGTGTTAAAATGAGTGTGTTTTCTCATCTGAATGATAATTGTTCTATGTATTTATATAAAGGAAGAGTTACAAGAAGCACTTTCTGCTCGTGCAGCAAGACAACAAACAGCTGAATATTCTGAAGACTTTGAAAGTGATGATGAAGGTATGTTGGAATAACAGGATACCTTATAATAACATCAGCTTGTTCTGTTTTTGTTTAATGCATAACAAGCCAGTAATTACATGCAACCTGATTTTAGGATTGGTTCTTAGGCTGGTAAGGCACATGCCTTACTAAGTACTTGGGGTTAAAGATCATGAAGTAATACTTCTGAAGTGTATCACAGATTTTTTTCATTTTAAGATAATGTGGATTAAAACTTTGTCTCCTCCCTCACATTCAAAACAGTTGCAATTGTTTTCATGCTTGCTTGGGAAAAAAGACATAGATGATACCTTGTTTGCTTGCTCAGTTTCCCTTTACAGCTAGGATAAGTGGTTGGTTTTGTTGGGGTTTTTTTTTGGGGGGGGGGGGGTTATCCTGAGGAATATTTGGATTACTAAAGCCTGTAGACAAGTCATTTTTAATACCGAAAATATATTGACTTTGGCTACATAAGAACTGGTACTCAAAGAATTACTACTGTATTTTATTTGGTTTTTGTATTATATCACAATACACCTTATTTTTCTTTCGAATGTGCTTATTTAGGTCCCCCTCTACACAATTACAGCCTGAATTGCTCCAAATATTTGCATATGTTTATGTTTTAGTCTATTATTAATGTTCTTCGGGCTTTTAATACTTAAGTGTGACATGATTTATTACATGCATTTATTGCAAATGCAATGAAATGTGTTCTTGGAATTCTGAAACTTGTTTCATGGAATTCCAAAAATGAATTCTGGATAAAATAAAATCCCACATTATCTGCTTTGAACTGGGATATATGGCAGTGTGGACTCAGATATTCCAGTTCAAAGCAGATATTGTGGGTTATTCTGCTTTGATGTTCTGGGTTATATGGCTGTGTGGAAGGGCCCAAAGTTTTAGAAAAATGTCAATAAGGAAAATATATGGCAGAATGGTGTTTTCAATTAAGTTTTGTTTGCTGCATTTTATCTTATACACATATTGACAATCTTATCTGTTTCTAGGTTCAGAGAAGTTTTCTGAAACTTTGGAAAATACCTCAAAGAAATCTGTCGCTTTTGCAACACCATTATCCAAGAAGAATCATTACAGTGGGAGCAGTTTGAGAAGTGAAAGTGAAGATGACCTGTCTTTCTCAGATGTTGATGAGAGACCTCACTATGTGTCCGAGCTGGAGAGAGAGATTTTGAGGGAAGAGAGGGAAGGTGTCCCTTTTTCACTAATAGAATATTCTAGATCATATGAAGAGAATGTAGAAAAAACATCCATTCCATTTGACAGACATCTGCAAGATTGCCATTCTTTTGAAAAGGACACTGCTGATGGCTTCGCTCTGGGAGAGGATGAGGAGAGAACTTGGGAAACATCCGGATTGGAAAATGAACATCTGAGTGAAGAGACGCAGGACTTTGTTTCTGAAGAAGGGTCAGGTTTTGAATTAGAGGGTGAACAACAGGATGGAGAACGTATGTTTGAGCTGCAGTTAGAGAGGGATAATATGATTAAACAGAAACATGAAATCAAGCCTGTGCCAAAGCCAAGGGAATTCAAGAACAAATCAGCATCAGTATCAGGTAAAAGAAATCAATATATTCTACTGCTGGAATTGTTTTAAAATTATATGTAAGTAAAGAAGTTTTCATAATTTTGATTATCACTTTCTTGGGAGCTGCAGCACTTCTGAATGTTTATATTTAAAACAAAATATTGTGTTGGTTGGGTAATATTTTTTCCATATTGGCCTGTTATATTACATATAAATAGATATAACAGTGTCTGATATTATCTGAAGCATAATAACTGATGTCAAGTGTGCAATCTTCCCATATCACCTGTGATCAGTGAGCATCTTAAGCCGCTTATGTGGCCCCTTATACTGCTGTGTTTCCAAGAAATACTGCAGCCATGTTCCAGTAAAACTCCAACACTTAATAACTGACCATATGTATGAGACCTGAATATGCTTACGATCACAATATATGGAGAAATCATGCTTCTACCATCAACATTTTGCTCTGAGAATTTATTTTTCAGTGTTTCACGGGGATTTAAAGCCACAGTCTTACTAAAAGTGTTTGTGTTACCTTTCTCCACTCAGTGGCAGCACAGTCCAAGTTTCATGGTCTTAAAATACTCTTTCATGATTTTAAATATGGCATATGCTTTTATTTTCAAAGGCCATACATTTGAAGCCAGACCAACATTTCATATTTTTCTAGAATGTGTAAAAGTCTAAATAATCAACATTGATCATTGAAATGAAAATCATAAACACTAATTTAGTTCCCACAAGGATTTACCAGAGTTCTTACTGGCTGATTTTTAAAATTCCAAGACACTATGCTGCCCCTGAATAGTTCTGAATTTGGAGAATATGCTTCCAAATTGAAACTTGATACAAAATTTCATCTGAAGGCACCCATGGACTAGATAAACTGGCCTAAGTGCAATTGATCAGTGGATCAATAAATAAATAACGACAAAACCAAAAAGTGAGAAATCTATGTCTGATTTTGAAAAAATGATATTTTTAAATGTTACCTGTCTGAAAGGTGACTGATGGCACTCAGAGACTTCCCAGGTAATAATTTTGCTTTTTTAAGAACAGAAAAAGGCAGCCTAGGAAAGTTTGCAGTGCAGCTAGTGCCAACAGTTTTTTGTCAGTATCATATATGTTCTAAGATCCTGGTCAGCAGATGCAAAATCATCAACCAGAATTAGGAATTTATGGGTGTCAACAACTAAATGTGATTTCCCCCCCCCCCCCCCCATCTGCTTTTCCAGTCAGACAGAACCACAACCCACAGCCAGGTCTTTAACATCTTTCTGAAAGACAGAAGGGAGGAGGCTGATCTAATCTTTCCAGGAAGGGAGTTCCATAGCCAGGGGGCAATCACTGAGAAGGCCTTGTCTCTTGTCCCTGCCAAACGAGCCTGTGACGGTGGCAGGACTGAGAGCAGGGCCACCCCAGAATATCTTAGTCTTCGCAGTGGTTTGTAAAAAAGAGAATCTTTATTTTCCTACACAGAAAAACAATGCTAAACCTCTGTAGATTCAATTTATTTGTGATAGGATCTTAACCATGCCTCATATTGCATATGACCTGACAACCTTTCAGTGTGCACCAAAGGACAACAGATTGGGATTGAAATATAGAATCCTATTTCTCATAAAAGATTACCATCAGTTATTTGACTTTTTTTTTACAAAGAAATGAAAGAAGCAAGCATGTGTAAGTATTTTAAATCGATGCTTTTTAATTTTCCAGTCTTAGAAAATTTTATTTTAATTGAAAATGAAGGATTTAATGCTAGTCTCACATATGACTGAAGTGATACAAAAGAAATGGAGGAGATTGTTACATTTTGTCTAAATTATTTTCTTTTGAAATGCTGGTTAAAAATTGCATTCTTTGTATTTTACTCAGCTGAGAATATCAGCATTCCTACATTCCATGAGTATTCAAAGCCGTCTCCTCAACCCAGGAGTGTTTTGAGGAAAAGTAGTCATGTGGAAGAGTATGAAGGAAGCAAGGCAGAAGATAGAACATCTCACAACCACAGATTCTTTTCTTTGTCTGCACCATCTTCTGAAACAAGGTTAAATGATCAAGTGGTAAAATCCGAAAGAAGAGCACTTGCTGAAAGTCCTAGTCCTGAGGTTAGAAATGGATTTAAAGCTATCCAGTATGAACAAAGGGTAAATAACAGAGAAGCAAAGTCCTTTTAAGTTGGGATACTGGATTATTTTATATGGCCTGCATTTACAAGTCAGCCAAGCTAATTGGCACTATGTAGGCTAATATGAAGATTGGAGTAATAAGTTTTGGATTATGCTTTTCTAATGAAGCCCTTGGAAAAATTTTGTGGAAAAATTGTAAAATTTCCAAGTGTTTTTTCTGGTTTTTTTTAAATGCTGAAAATAGGATGGAACAGATATATGAACAAAAATGTACCAGAAATAAACTGATACATTCATTCATTATTTTTATATTCGATAGGGAGTACAGATATGTTTGTGGGGTCTAATTAGTGGGCAATTTGTGGGCAAAGATAAGTAACTTAATTTTTATTATAGGTATACTACCTAAGTTTAGGAAGGTTAGCTTAGGATGGTAAGGTAAGGTTAGGATACTAAGGATATAATTGGGAGAGGACTGACGAGGGAGGATGTCATCCTGAATATGGTGAAGAGGGGAAACATCCTATCTGACTTTCACTGCATCTCACAATATCCTTTCTTAGTTATTTGATCTCTTATTCTCATAGGAGAAGTAAGCACCTTATTTCTTCCTTTAATTATGTGATTGTTTTTATTGTCATATTGTGTTCAGTCACCTTCAGCCTGAATCAGTCTTCCAGGGTTTATATCAAGTTAGGTAAAGGTAAAGGTTTTCCCCTGACATGAAGTCCAGTCGTGTCCGACTCTAGGGTGTGGTGCTCATCTCCATTTCTATGCTGAAGAGCTGGCGTTGTCCGTAGATACCTCCAAGGTGATGTGGCTGGCATGACTGCATGGAGCGCCCTTACCTTCCCGCCAGAGCGGTACCTATTGATCTACTCACATTTGCATGTTTTTGAACTGCTAGGTTGGCAGAAGTTGGGGCTGACAGCAGAAGCTCATGGCGCTCCCCGGATTTGAACCTGCAACCTTTCGGTCAACAAACTCAGCAGCTCAGTGCTTTAACCCACTGCGCCACCAGGGGCTCCTTTTATATCAAGCTTGTTGTTGTTCATTCGTTCAGTCGTCTCCGACTCTTCGTGACCTCATGGACCATCCCATGCCAGAGCACCCTGTCAGCTGTCACCACCCCCAGCTCCTTCAAGATCAGTCCAGTCACTTCAAGGATGCCATCCATCCATCTTGCCCTTGGTCGGCCCCTCTTCCTTTTACCTTCCACTTTCCCCAGCATAATTGTCTTCTCTAAGCTTTGCTGTCTCCTCATGATGTGGCCAAAGTACTTCAACTTTGTCTCTAGTATCCTTCCGTCCAATGAGCAGCCGGGCTTTATTTCCTGGAGGATGGACTGGTTGGATCTTCTCGCAGTCCAAGGCACTCTCAGAACTTATATCAAGCTATAGGTATTTATTTCCCTGTCCAAGAATAATCACTCACACCATGTTTTATATCCTAGGGCCCCTGGATTTCAAGCTCCTCATCCCCATTTCCTATTCATTTTCCTTCGATGGATGAGAGAACTGGTGATTCCAACTTTAAAATATTTGGGGAAGAACTTTCATCAAAAGGTAGAAAGTAGAGTTGTATAAAATTACCTTTGGAACTGTTGGCTTTAATTGAGATCTTGCAGTTTTGTAATACTTAGCTATAACTACCCTTCAGGAGTCCAAATGGAACTTCTGACCATTTGTGATAAAAATTTCAAATTCACTAATGATAGAGGGAAATCTGAAATTAATTATCTCCTTTGGTTTTCTCTCCCTTGATCCTCTGTTTTTACAAGGAGACTTTTGAGGACATTGTGCTAACAAGCTGATAATAATTGCTTCCCATAATATATTAGCTCAAATGTCTCTGTAGGGAAACAGCATGGTTTTATTTGAGTTCATTTTTTTAAAGAAATCAGTTCTAGTGCCATTTGGATTTATGCCCTGCTAACAATGAGCATTTTTATTAGTCACATCACTTTCCATTTACATCCCATTACCTGTTTCACAACTGTGTTATCTACCCAGCCCCTTTGTAGGTTGTGGTGTAGCATAACATGGTGGATAACTGTTACTTACAACTATCGTCTTGCCTTTGTCTTTGCCTCAGAGCCCACATACTTTTTGTAAGTTCGTAGCACTCAGGTTAGAGGGACAGTTGAGGATAGAGGGAGGTGGAACTTTGAACAGTCTTCATTGTATTTTGCCTGTGGCATATAAATTCAGTGCCTGCATAGTTCCATTGGCATTTAGGCTCTTGCTGGCTTCCCACTTAAATAATGTGTCAGGCATTAGAACTATGCATTCTTTTTCTTATTTAGTTATAACAGCGTTGACAATGTAGTATGGAGCAGGATATAGTTTTCAACCAAATTGACCATATTGGTGAATATTAGAGGCTCAGGAGATGAGGGTGGATTCTACCTTGAGTATTGTCAGATCACCCTCATTTTAGGTTGCAAGAAATCACTCTGTGGCTCACACCCAAATAGATTCCATACCTGTCACTCAGTTGTCCATGTCAGCAAGTCAGCCAAGGAGATTTTGGATAATAGGTTCCCCAGTGTCAGATCCATGCCTCAAGCCAGTCAAAAGCCTGAAACTATTTATAAAGTTGTAACCTCTTTTATTCCAAACATTTTCTACCTGTTTGTGTTTTCCTTCTCACAGCTGTACCCACAAATAGTCTCTCTTGTCATGAATTGACACTGTCTTGTCTATATCTAAATATATCTGATAAATACTGATAGTTAGAAATACATAAATACAGAAAATACAATAACACCTGGCTCAACTGGTATACAGTCCCACATCATTGGGAAATAAGTTCCTGAAAGCATAAGGCCTTTGGCATGTTTAAAATTATTTATAAATATCCTGACTTTTTTCATGTCAGGAGCAACTTGAGAAACTGCAAGTCGCTTCTGGTGTGAAAGGGCTGTCTGCAAGGACGTTGCCCAGGGGAGGCCCAGATGTTTTACTATCCTTTGGGAGGTTTCTCTCATATTCCCACATGAAAAGCTGGAGCTGACAGATGGGAGCTCACCCCACTCCCCAGGTTCAAACCACTGACCTTTTGGTCAGCAGTCCTGCCAGCACAAGGATTTAACCATTGTGCCACTGGGGGCTCCAATATACTGGTTGAGCACTGGTAACCAAATCGACATGAGAGAGAATCATTCATTTGCTCTTCTCTTACCTCTTTCTGTGTCTTGCTGAAAAACAGCAATTTACCCTCTTACTCACAAAAAAACTAGTTTAGGTTAATTAATATCAGGGAAATATATACTCCCTGTCCCTTTTTTCTAATCTAATCATATGGCAACTAGTTCCTATTTAAATGCATCACCTGAATGTTCTAGGCTATGAAAACTACTTTCTCATATCCAACACTGGTTGAGATACTTTTTTAAAGTGTTGAAATTCTAATCACATATCTCAGGTGGCAAATCTAGTTAGTAAATCTACAGGTTGACCCAGCATTTGGCCACATTGTGCCTCATATACTATGTGAAACATAAGAAGATATGCACCTATCAAATAATAATAATAATAATAATAATAATAATAATAATAATAATAACTTTATTCTTATATCCTACCACCATCTCCCCGCAGGGACTCGGGAGGCTTACAGACGACACAAAGTGCCTAAAAACAAAAATAAAAGTGAACATATAAAATACAAGAAAAATAAAACACATGCCCATATAAAAGCATAAACTCGAACACAGTCAAGCTGCGATCCTCAAATTCATAAGAATGTACCAGGAATTAATTTGTAATTATGTTTTTAATTGTATCTTGTAATTTTAAATCTTCCAGTTGATAGGGAAACTGATATGACAGTTTCTTTCTTTTAAAAAAATGCTATATGAGACAAGTTATGACAGTATGTTTCCATACTGAAATGGACAAACCATGAACTAAGGCAGACATGCCAATTTTTAAAGAATAAATTCAAGTAACAGTTTTTGCAATAGTTCATTTTTTCTATCTTAAGTCACTGTTTATTTCATGTAAAATTAGATCTTGGAGAGAGTTACAAAACTTCTGTTTAAAACAAAAAGAAAGCCGGATCTCCACTCCTATCCAATGACTTCTGCAGCCCCCAAAATCTATCATTAATACTGTACTTTCTTTTCTTTTTCATTTGAAAATTAGATGATGAAGAAAAAGGAACTGGCAACAGCAGTGATCAGAAATTACTGGAGAGTGACAGAAAATCACCTTCTGTGTTAGAACTAATGATGACGACAGCCTATGAGAAAACTAAGAAATTGCAGAAGTCAGTTGAAGATGATTTTGAGCAAAAGCTGGAGACATTAGAACATAGTGCCATTAAGGACAGATCAAGAGAGATCACAAAGGATGATAAATATGAACAGAAGATAGACCTAAGTACTTTAAAAGCTGCACTGGAATTGTCAGAGGATTCAGTAAAGGTGTGTTTGATAAATTTGTATCATAATTGGTGAGAATTTTCAAGTAACATAACTACATATGCATTCATACATGTATTTCTGTGGGTGTCCTTTTGCTTATTTGTCAGGTTAGCAGAACACTGTCATAAAAACAGGAAATCATCGAAATACAGAACATACAGTGCTCTATTCCTTAATCTGTTGAATATGGGGCGGGGGGGGGGGACACTTGCAGATGATAAAAGGATGTGTAGGAAAAGACTGTCCCTCATGTGTAGGCAACAGAAAGCAGGTTTTAAAAAGATACAGAGGTTTTAAAAAGATACAGAATCCATGCTAGATTGGGGGAGGGAAAAGGAGTTGAAGGAAAAGTAGGCATCCATGTTGTAGGGTGAGAACTGATGGGATAGAGAAGAACGAGCAGGTGAAGAGCTGTGCCTCAGTTTCTGGCACCAAATTAGGAGCCACAAAGAGTTCACTTTAGGAAATGATGGTATTTATTTCTCATGTCAGAAGCAAATTGAGAATACAGTTAAAATGTATTTTAAAAACCACAAAGTTAAAAACTTGGCATTATGCAAAATTTCCTTTGAGCAGAAGCTGGCCACTTGGAGTGCCTCTAGTGTCACTGTAAGAAGGTCCTCCATTGTGCATGTGGCAGGGCTCAGACCGTATTGTAGTAAGTGGTGTGTGGTTTGCTCTTCTCTGTACTTGGATGTTGCAGTCTCAATTTTGTAGCCCTATTTCGTAAGGTTGGCTTTGCATCTCATGGTGCCAGAGTCCTGTCCATTCAGTGCTTTCCAAGTCGCCCAGCCTTCTGTGTGCCTAGAAGGAAGTTTCTCATCTGGTATCAGCCACTGATTGAGGTTCCAGGTTTTAGCCTGCCACTTTTGGACTCTCGCTTGCTGAGATGCTTTGAGAGTATCTCTGTAGATCTTAGGAAGCTCTTTCTTCATGGAATTCATTAGCATGCTGGCTGATATATGAACAGAGGATGGGCCGGAGATATCAGTGCCTTGGTCCTTTCATTGTTGTCTGCTACTTCCCTGTGGATATCAGGTGGTGAAATACTAGCAAAACAGTATAATTTCTCCAGTGGTGTTGGGCACAGACATCCTGTGATAATGTGGCATGTCTCATTAAGAGCCACATCCACTGTTTTAACATGGTGAGATGTAGGAAATGATGCTGAATATGATGAATAAGGGAAGAGGACAGAGGAGAGAAAAAGACAAAAAAGTGCATTGTCTGTGGGATCTTCTCTCACTTTTTCTCCCTTCTAGTTAAAGAGGAAGCATGCACATGCATTCACACTCATTTTAGAGTCTACAAAAAGACTAGAGTCTACAAAAGCTTATTCTGAAATATATCAGCTAATAGCAAAGGTGCAACTAGATCTCCCCTCCTACACATAGACACACTTCCCCTTTTATACAAATGTACATATGCATGTTGGCTACTATAAGCTTATCCTTAGAACTATGTTCTACCAATATTGAACTAGAAATCTCAGCACTCACTTTCCATTTCAGCTGAAGATTATCTTTGTTTCCAGTCATCGTACAAGAGATCATAGATACAGAAAGTCAATGTTAAAGGATAGAGATTCATTGCTATTAGCAAAGTAGATGTACGTTTAGATCCCAATATATCAACATAGGTGAAAATCATTTTAGCATGTTCCTTTAGAAATCATTTTAGTATGTTCAGTGATTTTCACACATGTAGGAATGGCTGTAGTGCTTTTGTTGTCCATTTCTAAGATTCTACTGACATGTCCATGCTATAAATAAGGAAGAAGGAATTAGTTGTGCTTCCTATATTTTAGTTCAAAAAGAGTATTTCACAGGTTTATATAATGAGCTTTCTAAACTTTCACAGATTTTTTTTATTCTGAAACACCCAGAATGTTGAAATATGTGCAATGATTATTGGAATGGCCCCAGATTACAATTATAGATGGCATGATTTTAATAGTGAATGGAATGTTTTTATATGTTTTAACGTGCTTTACTTTTAATTTGGATTTTAATACAAATGTATTTTAACTGTATGTTGCTGTGTCTAAATGTTAGCATTTTGTTTATGTCTCATGTTTAATGGTTTTAATGATTTTAAGTCAAAGTTATATGTAGTAATTAGTTATTATGATTTCTTTGTGTTACTGTATGTTGACATTGGATTTTTGCCATTAATATGTTGTAAACCGCCTTGAGTTTCCCCAGGGGTGAGAAAAGTGGTATATAAATACAGTAAATAAATAAATAAAGACATTGAATAGTTGCCTATATTTAAAGCTGCCTTGAGTCCCCTTTGGGATAGAGAAAGGCGGAGTATAAATATTTATTTATTTTGAACATTTATATCCCGTCCTTCTAAACCCCTGAAGGGGGACTCAGGGTGGCTTACAACTGGCACTCATTAGATGCCAACAAACAAACAATCACAATACAAACAATTAACATTAACTAAACCAACAAGATTATAAAAATACATTAAAATATTGACCATTAAGTATTAAAACACAACCAAGCCTAAGTTCCCAAATCCAAATCGTAATCCAGAGTTTCAGTCCAAGGTCTATTCAGTGGCAGTCCTCTTAAGTCATTGCAGTTGCTGCTCGGTCAGCTGCCCAAATACTTGGTCCCAAAGCCAATATGTAAGCTTTTTTTCTAAAGGTGAGGAGAGTGGGAGTCACCTTGATTTCACTAAGGAGTGTGTTCCATAGATGGGGGGCCACCTCCGAGAAAGCCCTGTCTCTCATCCCCACTAAACACGCTTGCAAGGGTGGCAGGATCGAGAGCAGGGCCTCCCCTGACAATCGTAAACTTTGAGGTGGATCATAACGGGAGGTACGTTCGGACAGGTAAACTGGGCTGGAACCGTATAAGGCTTTATAGTTCAAGATCAGCACTTTGAATTGTGCTCGGAAATGGACCAGCAGGGTAAATAAAGAAATAAATATGTGCTACATGGTCATTCTGTTGTTTGCCATATTTTGAAACAGTTTTGTTTTTGTTTTATTAGGAGAGGAATGAATTTAAAGAGCGAGTTTCACAAAAAGTAAAATCTCGAGTAAGCAGGTAGGAAATCAAAAGCCAATGAAAGTACTTTCTAAGAGACAACAAACCTAAGAATGCATTTTTGTCTATTGCCTTAATTAAAACTGAAAATGCTCTATATCATCTTTTTTATTTTACAGGTCTTTGAGCTCTGCACATTTGAAGAAAACTGGGAAACCCCCTCATATCCCAACAAGTACATCTTCTCAGTACTTGGGAACTTTAAAGTTCTTGGACAACAAACATTTACGAAAATATAGTGCTGAACTTGATAAAGCTGACAGCTTGAGAGCAGCAGTGTATCAGGTAAACATGTAGCACCGTTTAGTGCAATAAGATTATCCCTTCCAATTAAAAACACAATTTACAGAGTAGGTGTGCTGACCATAACATAAATGCCAATGTCCATTATATGATGATACCTTGTACTACATCAGCCAAGAATGACAAACATTTTCTGTGCAAAGGGAAATGCTGTAAAAAGCAGGCTGTTTCTCTATTAGCTTAGAGTGGCATGAATTCACAGGCAGTGAATAGAACAATCCATACTTAACTTGGATAAAGATAAAAGACAGATTCTTTTTTGCTTAATTGTTTTTAATATATAAAGGGGGGATGTTAAACTTAACTTAGATTAAGCTATGATTAGAAATAGGCCTTGAATTTTACTTCCTTCCCAGCTTTTCATTATAAATAACAAGGAGCAAGTTCAGAAAAGTGGTTTTCAAATATATTTGAATAAGATATCTGTGGCCTATGAGATAGTCCCATTTTATGACTTAACCATTCTTGAAGCTTGAAGTAACTGAAGCAACAGCCCTTATCATCATATGAGTAAAGGTGATTTTGAAAGCTAGGGAATTGCCTATTATGTGCAAATAAAGGTTTGCATCATGTGTATGACAGCTTTCCATTCCAGTAGAAATATTAATGTTTTCATACATGCAAAATTAAAGGGATATTTCATAGCATGAGTATAGAAATCAAGTGGTGGTTTCACTGATAACAATGAATTTGTTTTTTGTTAGCAAATAATTTCATCAAGTGACGTCTAAAGTTCTCGTATAAACTTTGTACAATTTTTTTGGTTATGTTTTTCAGGACTGGTTAGAAAAGAAGAGAGTATTCCTAGTGGAACTGCAAAGAATTAAAAGAAACAAAGCTGAGAATCTGCGGGAGAAAAATGAAAAGGTTTTATTTTTAAAGTCACTGATCTAAAACTGCCACCATCATACTATGAGATTTGTCATAGAAGTGTTCTGAGTTTGCCTTTCCAATTAACTATTAGCATCTATTTCTTTTTAACATGAAGTTTATGAATTACATTAAAATGAAATCACTGAGTTTTTAAGTTTCACAATAATTGTTTAGGAAATTATTCCTTATGGCTAATTAATATTGGATCAGGAATAGGCTCTGGCAGAGGGTAGAAAAGAAAATTCCAGTTTACTTCCTGGTTGGGAAAAAAAAAGATTTCTAAAAAGCCAAAGGGAGGAGAATTTGGAGTAGAGGGGTATTTGGGGCAATCATTTTCATAAAAATAAATTGTAACAGGTACTGGCCACTGAGTTTGCAAAAATGACATGCACCAAAATTTGCCCATCCTTATTTGAAATACACCCCACCTACTTTGCAATTCATTTACTGACAAACCAGCGTAGTTATTTCTAGCACTAAAACCAATGTGTTTGTAGGTCATGTTCAGCAATCTTGAATTAATAGAAGTATACTGCACAGATTTTTTTTCTGATTTTCAAATTGCTTTATATTGTCATAAAGGCTTATATTTAGTAGTAAGGGACAATGAAGGTAGGGCAAATAAGCGCAACAAAGGAAGTGATAGTTGACTAATCAAATGTTTTGCAGAAAATTGGAATATTTTCCCCAAGGAAGACAGGGACATTGGATGAAATTTCACTCGCTTCTTGTAGTTGCCTGAGTTACTCGACATATTTCTATAAACTTATACATTTGTAGCAAATAATTAGATTTGAAATAACCTGATACATACTGGCCAAAGTCCTGTAACAGCTTTTATTTAACAAAGTACTGTATCTCATTACATAATAGTCACACTCTTTAATAGTTGAGTAATTGGGGGCGGGGGGGGGGGGGGAATCTGCCTTTGATTCTCCAGTTTCTTTTGTTTTTTTCTTTTCTTGTTTTTTCTTTTTGGGGGGGGGGGGTTGCTGAGTTTTCCAGGCTGTATGGCCATGTTACAGAATCATTCAGTCCTTCAGGAAAAAGTTGAAAACGTGGCTATGGGACCAGGCATTTGGATAGTAGGTTAATAAATGATGACCATGTTATGGTAAATGGACTATGGGCAGGCTTCGGAACCAAGGTGTTGATTGTAGAACTCAGATTTAGATTTGGTCAACTAATTGAATTTGCACTATTTTAAATGGTTTTAATTTATATGAATGTTTTATCTGTTTTTTAATTGCTGTTTTATCTGTATGTATATGGGAGGCATCAAATTGTTGCTAGCTGTAAGCCGCCCTGAGTCCCCCTTCGGAGGTAGACAAGGGCAGGGTACAAATATTTGGAATAGATAAATAAATAAAATTCTCTTCTGATGTTTCACCCACATCTATTGCAGGCATCCTCAGAGTTTGTGAGGTCTGTTGGATACTAGGCAAGTGAGGTTTATATATCTGTGGAATGTCCAGGGTTGGCGAAAGAACTCTTGTCTGCTTGACGCCCATGTGAATGTTGCAATTGGCCACCTTGATTAGCATTGAATAGCCTTGCAGCTTCAAAGCCTGGCTTGTTGCTGCATGGGGGTCCTTTGTTGGGCGGTGTTAACTGGCCCCAATTGATTCTTGTCTGGAATTCCCCTGGGTTTTTTTTTAGTGTTGCTCGTTATTTACTGTCCTGATTTTAGAGTTTTTTTTAATGCTGGAAGCCAGATTTTGTTCATTTTCATGGTTTCTGTTGAAATTGTCCAAATGCTTGTGGATTTCAATGGCTTCTCTGTTTAGTCTGACATGTTGGTTGTAGAGTGGTCCAGCATTTCTGTGTTCTCAAATAATATGCTGTGTTCAGGTTGGTTCAACAAGTGCTCAGCTATGACTAACTTCTCTGGTTGAGTTTAGTCTGCAATACCTTTTATGTTCCTTGGTTCATGTTTGGGTGCTGCGTTTGGTGGTCCCTATGTGGACTTATCCACAACTGCATGGTATCTGGTAGACTCCTGCAGAGGTGAAAGGGTTGCTCTTGTCATTTGCTGAATGGAGCTCCTGTTGGATTTTCTTAGTGGTTCTGTAGATTGTTTGTAGGTGGTTTGCTTTTTTAAATGCCTTACCTCTGAGAAGGGAGGAGGAGGAGGAGGAGGGATGACACAGCCTCAAACAGCTTCATTTCTGTGTGTGTTTGTTTGTTTTATTGCCTTGCCTCTGAGAATGAGGAGAAAGTATTTTCTCTCTCTTCCTTCTCTTTCTCCAGAGGCAAGGCAGTTTACAAAATTTGGAATGGAGCTCTTTGGAGAAAGGAAGGAAGATTTTTATTCCAAAGACCTCCATTTCACTTTTTTAAAACTGCCTGGCCTTCAGAGAAAGAAGAAAGGAAGGGGGGAATCAGCCCCAAGCAGCTCTGTGTCCATTATGTGAAGAAAGGCTGAAAGCTAATTTTGGAGCCAAAAAAGGGGGTGCAACAACTATATAGTGATGGCTACTACGCAGTGAATTATGATCCTCGATAACTTCTCCTGGTCAGTCCCCACCAAACTGGATCGAAATATCATTCAACCAGGCTCTGGTCATCCACAGAATCAACTTCTTTCTCCCCATGAAGCTGATGATCAGTAAAAATAGATTTATAGGGAAGTTACAATCATGGCAGTAGTATCAAAATAGTGATTAAGTAGTGATTGTGAAAGAGTAACCCAATCATCACTACTTAGTCATAATGTTGATACTATTGCTGTGACTATAATTTGCTTTCTCAATCTTCTTCACCAGGTATCAGCAGCATGGAGGGCAGGAGGTCCTGTCTGCTGATTAGTAGAGCATAGTTGAATGATGTTTCTGTCATGTTTGGAGCTGTTGAACCAGAAAAATTAATTAATGGAGTTCTTAGTTAAATATAAACTGATGCACAATTCCAAAATATGTTTGTTCTGATTTATCTATATAAAAAAAATGGAATGTTCGTTTGTGGGATTAATAGAACTCAAAAACCACTGGACGAATTGACACCAAATTTGGACACAATACACCTAACAACCCAATGTTTGTCCTTCACTCAAAAAAATTGATTTTGTCATTTGGGAGTTGTAGTTACTGGGATTTATATTTCACCTACAATCAAAGAGCATTCTGAACCCCACCAACGATGGAATTGAACCAAACTTGGCACACAGTTCTCCCATGACCAACAGAAAATACTGGAAGTGTTTGGTGGGCAGTGTTCTTTGGTTTTGGAGTTGTAGTTCACCTACATCCAGAGATCACTGTGGACGCAATGATGGATCTGGACCAAACTCTACACGAATACTCAATATGTCCTAATGTGAACACTGGTCGAGTTTGGGAAAAATAGAATCTTGACATTCGGGAGTTGTAGTTGCTAGGATTTATAGATCACAGAGCATTCTGAATCCAACGATAGAATTGGGCCAAACCTCCCACACAGAATCCCCATGTGGACCACAGCAACAAAATAAATATATTATTAGCTTAGTACAATATCAATATTATATATTACTATATTGTACTATACCATTATATTGTAATATTATTAGTAATATTGCATGTAATATCAAATATATAATTACAATATATTATTATTAGTAGTATTATATTGTATTACATTATAATATAAATATTATATGTATATATAATAGATTATATTACATCTATATAAATAAAAATTTGATGTTCTTTTGTGGGACTAACATATCTCAAAAACCACTGGATGAATTGACACCAGATTTGGACATAATACACCTCTCAGGCCAACAAGTGACAATCACTTATAAAAAACTGAAAAACACAGCGGAAGAGACTTTAAAAGCCAAAAAATAAAAAATACATTATAATGCATGTGCAAAACAACATATTTACACATATACACAAATATATACACACATATACATACAAATATATACACACAAAACACATATACACAGACTGGGCCACAGCAACGCGTCGCAGGGGACGGCTAGTATTTGAATAAAATGCATAGGTTGCCAGTAGATACTAGGTTATGTGTAGATTTCAAGAATTATGAGGCAGATGTAGCCATAGGAATCACAATTCACAATGCATACCAAATTATTACTTGAAGTTTGTGTGGCCTTCTGTTTATCTAACTAAGTCCAACATTAGTTATAATGGAAATCTTAGTTGTTGCTTTACAGTCCACATTTTCTGTCTCTTTAGAAGGAAGCAGCTAAGAAGGAAGAAGCGCTTGCATCCTTTGAAGCCTGGAAGGCTATGAAGGAAAGAGAAGCAAAAAAATTGGCTGAGAAAAAAAGGTTGGAAGAGGCAAAGAAACAGAAAGAAGCAGAACTAAATGAGAAGAAAAAAGAAGAGGCACAAAAGGCAGTGAGAAATTTCTATGTTGCAAGCATCAACCCTATAGAAAGACTGTATTAAGTAGAGCTAGTGTTTCATTATATGCCCATACCCTGTGATTCATCTTAATGAGTATAGTGTTCTGAAATTGAATATGCAAACTGTTGAAATTAACTTAACTGTAAGTTTCTGCACTCTGTTTGGCAATATTCACTCTGCAGTGAATAATTTTGCAAGTAGATTTAGTAGTTTGCAAAGCCTAGCCAGTGGTCAAAATCCATGAAAAGCAAGAATCTAGGATTTAATTTGCAGATTCATCAATAAAGCTTAAAGATTTAAATTGGGGGTGGGTGTGTTTTAATCAATGAGACTGAGAATTAGAGATATGCTTGTTTTTAGATTGGTGTGTTATTCTGGCAAAAAGCTTTTAAAATATTAACAAGATGTGTTTTGTTTTAAATTGGATGTAAACCATCTTGGGTTCTATGCAAGGAGAAAGGGGGATATAAATAAAATAAAATAACCACAAGGGACTTGCAGTGAACCCTTTAATGCAGGGGTCGGGAACCTTTGGCCCTCCAGCTGTGGTGGACTTCAACTCCCACAATTCCTTGAGGCTCGGCATTCGCCCCAAAGGCTTACCTTGGCCCAACGAGGTTTGTTTGGCTCTTTTTCATGGAGGACGGGCAGCAAAGGGGGAGAGACGAGCGTAACGTAGCTGTGCAGATGGCGAGGAAGGATGCGGAGCCCACAGACTGGCCTCGGAGGGAGAGAGCGGGCGGAAACCCCTGCGGGCAACGCGCTTCCTCGCCGCTTCGGCCCTTAGCACCCGCCCCGCATGGACCCCCTCCCTAGCAACGACGCCGGCTGAGTGACGTCGTGCAGAGCTTGTCGGGGAAAAGGGAAGGCGAAGGCTGGAGGGAAAGGGCTCTGCGCTGTTTAAGCGGCGAGGAGGCGCGTTGCCCGCAGGGGTTTCCGCCCGCTCTCTCCCTCCGAGGCCAGTCTGTAGGCTCCGCATCCTTCCTCGCCATCTGCACAGCTACGTTACGCTCGTCTCTCCCCCTTTGCTGCCCGTCCTCCATGAAAAAGAGCCAAACAAACCTCGTTGGGCCAAGGTAAGCCTTTGGGGCGAATGCCGAGCCTCAAGGAATTGTGGGAGTTGAAGTCCACCACAGCTGGAGGGCCAAAGGTTCCCCACCCCTGCTTTAATGCAAAAGATAGTAACCTGATTCCTCATTAGGAGCATATTATGCCAGGGGTGGAACCATTTCATTGGCTGTTGATCACGACCAGGATCCCCAAAGGATTGTCTCCTTCCAAAGGACCTAACATGAAATGTTTATTTTGTGTGTGCCTCCCACCTATATATGTTTGTTTTTTTTGTGGGATTTTTTGGTTTGTTTTGTTTGTTTTTTGTTTTTTGCTGTGTTAAGTAAATTAAATATTGGCCAGAAGCAGAAGTCTTTCCAATGCTGGTGCCTACTTACAGGAATCCCTTACTGCAGTGGGTATTTTGATGCCTAATTTGACATTGAGCCCCCGCTGGCACAGCAGGTTAAACTGCTGAGCTGCTGAACTTGCTGACTGAAAGGTCGTTGGTTCGAATCCGGGTAGTGGGATGAGCTACCAGTGTAAGCTCTAGTTTCTGCCAACCTAGCCATTCAAAAACATGCAAATGTGAGTAGATTAATAGGTACCACTTTGGCAGGAAGGTAACGGCGCTCCATGCAGTCATGCCAGCGACATGACCTTGGAGGTGTCTATGGACAATGCAGGCTCTTTAGCTTGGAAATGGGGATGAGCACCACCCCCCAGAGCCGGACACGATTAGACTTATTGTCAAGGGGAAACCTTTACCTTAATTTGACATTAGGTGAAATTGCTTTTTATTCAGGCCGTGAACGCCTTCAACAATACACTGTTTTTATTTGTTCAGGCCTTTAAATGGGTTTTTTTTCTTTTTTCAAGGTGAACTTTTAACTGCTTGTTCCAATTTATTTATTTTTTCACACAGCCCAGCGAAAAATAATTTCTTGGTGTCTTGGTTTTTAGGCTTGTACTTAGGATTATTTGGGGCGCTGATTCAGAAAATTGCATTGGATAGACTGCATCAGCTCTAGTATCTTAAATATGGTTATTGTGGTTTTCAGTGGGTGAGCAGATGGCAACTGCTAGATGTCATATGTTCTGTATCTCAAAAACTAGAGCTGATATGGGAAAACTATTGCCATTTTTAGAATCAACAGGTCAAATATATCCGGAAATAGGGATAACTTTTGAGGCACAAAAATGTGTGTTGGCCAGTGTTATATTTTAATAACTTCATCTTGTAAGACCCTCTCAGAACCATGCTGAAAAGCAAATTATTAATTATTCTAATAAAGAAAGCCCAGGTGTCCTTTATTATTCTTTTAGTAAATAATGGGTTGGTTTGTAAAATGGTAATGACTTAACACTGACTTTGTACTCTGCACACTCAATCAACCAATTAATCAAGTGGTTTCAAACAGCTGATAACATGACTAAAATTCTTTTAATTGCTTAAAAACTAACAAAAGCTCTTAAACACAAACCTTATAGGCTTTTGAGAAATGGAAAGAAAAGAAAGCAGAATATTCAAAACAACAATTAAAAAAGGAGAGAAGAATTGAAAGGTTGAAAAAGAAAAAAGAAGAGGAGATTGTTGCAGAGAAGAAGAAAGACAGCAGGTCTGCTGTTGAAAAGTGGTATGTCTGAATCATTCTGAATCATTATATATTTTTATACCTTTATATCTGAGTCTGCTAACCTTAAGAACAAAAATGAACTTGGGTTGCTGGGAGCTTTTCAGGCTGTATGGCCATGTTCCAGAAGCATTCTCTCCTGATGTTTTGCCTGCATTTATGGCAGGCATTCTCAGAGGTTGTGAGGTCGGTTGGAAACTAGGCAAGTGGGGTTTATATATCTGGAATGTCCAGGATAGGAGAAAAAACTTTTATCTGTTTGAGGCAAATGTGAATGTTGCAATTTGTCACCTTGATTAGCATTTAATGGCCTTGCAGCTTCAAAGCCTGGCTGCTTCCTGCCTGGAGAAATTCCTTGTCGTTGTTCACAGTTGCCTCAAACAGATAATCTCCCACCCTCTGAGGATGCCTGCCATAGATGTGGGCGAAACGTCAGGAGAGAATGCTTCTGGAACATGGTCAGACAGCCCGAAAAACTCACAGCAACCCAGTGATTCCAGCCATGAAAGCCTTCGACAACAAAAATGAACTTGTTTATTACATCATTGCTACTGCCTGTCATTGGAATAGAAGGCAAGAATTTTCTTCATGTTTTCAGACAGATTTGTATATTGTTTAGGAATGAGAAAAAAGAAGAATATCTAAAGCAAAAGAAAAAGGAAAAAACACAAGAAAGGAAAAAAGAAGTAGATCAAGAAGTTGAGATGCAAGAAAAAGATAAAAAAGCCATAGAAGCATATGAAAAATGGTTGGTAAGTGTATGCATTGCTGATCATGTGCAAGCAAAACATACAGATATTCCAGTTTGGCTTTATCAACTTCTACTGAATGAAGAAGGCCAAGTGGTGGCAGTATAATCTCCCATTTACTGGTGATGCATCAGTGCAGTAGTTGTTAGATGAATATGCCTGAACTCTGCACACCAAAATAAAGTCTTGTTTAGGTTTTGTAGAGGAACACCTACAATTTCTCATGCTTTACAAAACTTCCTGCAAGTGATTAACACAGATATGCACTTCTGCCTACAGTAATTAACAAAATGTTGTCATGAGGGGATGGGGAAAGCAGACTATGTGTGTTATGTATTGCCATATTTGTAGGAAATGTTTGCCATATTTGTTTGAAACTGCCCTGAGTTCCTTTGGGAAGACATGGCGGTCTATAAATAAAGTATTATTATTATTATTATTATTATTATTATTATTATTATTATTAATGACTAAAGTTAGTGGAGGGTCTTTTCAGCACATTTGGCTTTGTTAGGAATATATAACAAGACTTATAGTCAGTCTCAACTGGCAATTTAGGTATAATCCCATGGAGGCCAAAGTATACATGACCTGTAATTTGGTATTGCATATGCATTTAAAAAAACAACAACTAATTAGCAGCAATGGAAGATCCTAGTCTCATTCTGAACAGCTAGGAGTGGGGTTAACTCTTTCCACCTCCATGGCATCTAATCTCAATATGTATGTTCCCTTAAAAGTTATTGTTCGGCACAAAAGTGAAGCTTTCTTTCGAGTCAATGATGCTTTTGTCATGTTTTAAACTACAGCAGAGGAAGAATATCAGGACTGTATTCTATTCTTTTCCGTGCATTTCACAGCTGTTGTTCACACACATGCGATTTCAAAATTACATGTAATTTAGCCCTAACAGGCCTACAAAAGGTGAGCTAAATAGGAGTTGACCTCACTGATTCTTTCTGGACTCCACAAGGGACATATGTGTCTGCTGCTTAGGTCACGTTTTTAGGCCTTTTTTTCCTGTTGTAATAGATTTTCTTTTTAGTACAAGGAAAAGTCAGTCATTGCAAAAAGAGCAAAACGGCTGCGTCACCACAGTTTTGGCAATAACCCTGCCCTGCTGGTGGTTCCTCATCCCAGTGCTGTAGTTTTTGACATTAGAGTATTCTCTTCTCCTGTTCACTGTCAGGAAGAGCCGCTTCAGCCAAGCCATGTCAGCGCAGCCCAGAACCAGCAAAGCATAACAGCAGCTCAAGTGAGTGAATAATACAAGGAAACTAGTTTGTAAGAGAAAATGAGTTACTCGGGATTGCTTGAAGGATTATTATATTGTGTATGTGTTTGTTTGCGAGTTCATATAGGCAAATACTTTAACATAGAAAATGTAGAAGTCCTGCTTTAGAGTAAGAATTATCATAGTTCTCTAGGAAACAAAATGTACAATGCTCTCTCACAGAATCAAACAAACCAAAAAAGATATTGGTTTCTTGGTTTTAAGGCCTGTTTTAAAAATTATTTAGGGCGATGATTCGGAAAATTGCATTGGATAGACTGCATCAGCTCTAGTTTCTTAGATATGGTTATTGTGGTTTTTATTGGCCAGCAGATAGTGACTGCTGATGAACAGGTGCCATTTTTGGAATCAGCAGGCCAAATATACCCAGAAACAGGATTAACATTTGAGGCACCAAAATGTGTGTTGACCAGTGGAATATATAAAGGTAAAGATTTCCCCTTGACATTAAGTCTAGTCATGTCCAACTCTGGGGGTGGTGCTCATCTCCATGTTTAAGCCAAAGAGCCGACATTGTCCGTAGATACCTCCTGGTTAATGTGGCCATCATGACTGCATGGAGCACCATTACCTTCCCACCAAAGTGGTACCTATTGATCTACTCACATTTGCATGTTTTTGAACTGCTAGGTTAGCAAAAGCTGGGGCTAACAACAGGAGCTCACACCGTCCCATGGATTTGAACCACGATCTTCCAGTCAGCAAGTTCTGCAGCTTAGTGGTTTAACCCGCTGCGGCACTGCAGTGGGTTACACTTCATGTAAATTTACACTTCATGTAAATTTGCTTGCTAATGGGTATAGCAGACATCTTCAAACTGCAGTCTTCCATCTGTTTGGACCTCCAACTCCCAGAACTCCTGACTATGGCTTCTGTGAGTTGGTGGCCCAAACAGCTGAAGAGCTGCAGTTTGAAGATTCGTACAGTATAGGTTTAAAACAGTGGTTACCAACCCTTTTTTTTTATCCAGGGACCACTTTGGCCATGAACCACTCTCCAACATTAGTACCAAAAAGGTTATGAATCAGTTTTTTTGGCAGCTTTAGATTCAGTTTGGTTATTTGGGGTGCTAAGTCAGAAAATTACATTGGATAGACAACATCAGTTCTAGTTTCTGATATGGAGCATATGCCATCCAGTAGTTGCCATCTGCTCACCCACAGAAAACCATATTTAATAAGCCTCAGCACTATAAGAAGATTTCATGAGACCAGTCATGTTGCAACAGTGTAGTAATGGTCAGGGCACGGACCACATTTTCAATTTTGCAGACCACTGGTGGTCTATGGACCACAGGTTGGGAACCACTGGTTTAAAAGAACCTACCAGTCTTATTGTACAACCTTTATCATAATGTGTCCTTCTTTTTCATTTTGTGTGCACAGTCCATGCAGTTTGCTTCTAGCTGTTCATGGATCCCATATTTACTTCACGCGTTATAAGCCCTTACAAAAGAGTTTTGTGCTTCTGCAAATGTAGCTTTTCCAAACCAATGAAAGTATTGCTATTGTGATTATACTATAAAACAAGGAGCTATTTTTTTCTAACTATGTCTTATTTTTTTTCTGCCAGAGCAAGTTTATAAATAGCTGAGTATAACTGTGATGCCTATTTAAACCAGAACAGATGGAGCAGGTTATTTTTATTTCCACCATTATAAGACATCTGTTCATTAATAAATTGATCCTATTTCATTATCAGTCTGCAATTTTTTAAATGCTCATTGAAATATGTACTTTGAATATATATATTTCCACAAAATATATAGTTCTGAATAACTTTTACCATAAACCTCAAATTTTTGTTAACATCTTATTCTAAATCTGAATAGTTCAATTTTCCTATGTGGATAGTTGCTGAATGTTGTAGTGTTTAGTAGTCATGTGCATTTGGATCTTACCTTGATCCATTTTGTGTCCTGGCTTTTGGTGAGGGCAATGATCCATTTTCGTTTGAGCCTCCTGAAATTGGGAGGTCAGATATTTGTTTTTTTTGTTTTTGGGGCCAAAAGATCCATTTTATTTTGGCCCATTATTGGGGGAGGAGTTAACCCATAGGCCCAAAGTGCCCGTACCTACGGTTGCAGGCTTTGGGCCTACACACCCAGGCCTCGCAGGGCCTGCAGCCAAGCACCTAGTAAGGAACACTCCTTACTCAGCGCTTGGCTGCAGGCCCGGTGCGACCAAGGTGCCCCGGTGCTTTGGGCCTATGGGTGCAGGCTTTCCAGCCCACACACCCGGGCCCGATCCTTACTCAGCGCTCGGATCCAGGCCCCACACAATCAATCCAAAATGCTGGCCCATCTGCCTTTCGTATCAATTATATTTTCATTTCAGGAGGGGCCTTTCTGTTTTGTTCCATACGAATGGATGGAACGAAACAGAAACATGAATGAAACGAATGGGACAAATTTGAAGCCATGATTAGTTTTTAGGATGTCAGATTACAAGATTGGGGGTGCAAGTTTAAATCTACATTCAACCATGGAGTTTAGTGGCTGCCCATTATCAGACTATTTCAAAAGGTTGTTCAGGAAAAACTGTAGATGACAGTGATACTTTATGGATATCTACTGACAGTGTACTATCCTGAGGTCTTTATATAATGGAAGGAAATTACTACTTAAAAAATTAACATTTTTTTCTCTTCTCTGCAATTGCCTGTAGTTTTGCTTTTGTGCTTCTCAAGGAGCAAAAAAGAAAACGGAGCTATGGAAATCTTACATGTCCTCTGTTTTCAAATTCATCACTGTTCATCACTTACTCATGTTTATCGCATCACTGGCCACTTAAAACTCACTCTGTAGAGTGTAGATCCTGCCCTAGTGTAAACATGGCAGACCATGAGCTCAGTGTGTTTTGTAATCTGGAAAAAACATGTGTTAAATTGGACTATCGTTGTTCTATAATTGTGTCATTGTTAGCATCCCACGTGTGCTATAATATCAATCAAAATCATAAACAACTAATGAGCAACTGTATAGCTAACTTAGACCAATTAAATGATTCTTCTTTGGAAACCAATCCATTTACTACCAAAGTGATAAAAGCTCTACAGCTCCATTGGGGGCCTAGCAATAAATAGCAACTTACGTGGTATCTTTCCTCGCTCTTCCTATTGGAAAGGGGGCTCCTGCTTTTTGGGTAATATTTTGGTTTCTTTGCCCCTACATTTTCTGTGGATTCCATTGAAATAGTTTCTGAGGGCAATTGTGGAGGCACCAGAAAGGTTTTTGGAACCTATGACTTGACCCCTTCTGTGGGTGGCAGGAGAGGGGAAAACTGCCTGCGTGAGAGTCGGGCCCATCATAAATCAACAGCTGCAACACCCAAGAATATTGTGTGGCTTAAAAATAGTTAGAAGTGATGGAACAATGTGAAAAAAATGTCATGCTTTCAGCGTATCTGAAGTAATGTTATGTTACTATACTAAGTTGCCATGCATGAAGGGAAAAAAAAGCAACAATCAAATAGGCATTTCCTTTGCAATCTCCTTCTACAAAACTATAACTACAATACAATAGTAGTGAGGCATGTATGAAAATGTGACCTCGGACTAAATAAAGTTGTCAAGAAAAGTTTGTTGAATTCATTTGAGATTTCAGAGGTTAACTCTAATGAGGTCAAGCCACCAAAATCACCTTTCTCTAAGATGTTTGATTTCTCTGCTGAGTCTGATCATTGTTAACTTGGTCATTCCTCTAAACTGTGAATACAGTTGAGAGGTCAGCTCAAGTAACACACTGAAATGTCCCTGGAGATAAGCAAATGTACAAGTCATATTGAACAAATGATTCCAGTGCCTTTGTATGGTTGTGTTTGAAATATTTGGATTTGTGACAAATGTCACAACTCTATAGTCTGCAACTCTATTTGCACAGAACAATATTAGTCCCAAAAAGTGAAGGTTCTAATTAAATTTAGTGCAGGAATTTTTAGTGGTATTTTTCCTCCACCAAACAGGGAGTTTTCAAATACTTATAATGAAGACAGTTTACTTATTTTCCTTGAACCAGAGTATATTTTAATGACACACTGATAAAAAAAGTTAATTACACAGGAAACAAAAAAAAGTCTCAGCAAGTATTCTGCTTAGCCTTTGTTATTTAAATTGACTGTATTTGAAGCCAAACAAAGCTGTTTGGACCTTATGCTATCCTTTGCATGACACTAGGCTGTCGGAAGTTTTTCAGATATATTTTTGATGTACAGTTTTACCATGGTAATTAAAGATGGAAATCTCTTTAGAGGAATAATAGTTCATAGATCAGTATACAGCTTTTCTGGTGAGCACCAGGCATGCCTGTATTTTTGTAAAAGTGGCTAGCATTGTCTAGTAGAGTATAAATTGCAAATTAATTGGCATTTATTCAAGCAGTGTGCTGCTAATTATCACAATATACTTCACTGTCAACAGGGAAAGAAAGAGGTGAAGGAAATGATGCAGAGAAATCAGAAGAAGCTCCAGGTTATCCTTGAAGATGAAACCCCACCTCCATGGAGCCCACCTGGTAAAGCTGTGCCCTCAAGAAGCTATTGAGATGCCAGTGCCATGCGGGAGATCCCGCTGTTTGGCCATCACCTTATCATCACTGTTCCGTAACATCTGATTTTAACATGAATTGAAATTGGCTCTCGTATCCTTTCTCTGTAGGTGGTGATTTGCTTCCCTGGTATAAAAACTCTGAAATGTTCTAAACATGTAGTACTCAGTAGGTAGCACACAATTTCCCAGGGTTTGTTTTCCCCCATCCATTTTGACAAAGCCATGGACACACAGAAAGTGCCAAGTTCAGCAGTTAGTACAAGCTATAGCAAAACCACTGCTGATGAAAGAATAGCTAGAATACTGAAAGGAGAGAAAAGTACAATTTTCAATTAGAGGGAAGCAGGATAAATAGCTGTGATGTGACCTCAAACCTTTGCCACATTACCAAATCCTCTTTTTATTATGGTATGATCTTCAATGAGATCAAATTCTATTCAAACAGGTCAGGGCATTGTATTTGGGCACTTTCAAAACACCAGAATATAATGTCTGTTTTATATTCCTTCCTGGAAAAGTAATTAAAGGTTTATCTACACTGTAGAAAAGGTCTTGTAGGCGTTGTGATCCTGACACACATGACATTCTTGATGACTCACTTACAATGTGAATTCTTTGGGCTTAGTTTTTTTTTTTATTTAAAAAAAACTTATATTTTACCCTGAAGTTCTACAGAAAATCCCGATTTTTGCCACATGGGCAATTTCACTATGGATTTGGGGGGTAGGAGTTGGTGGGATGTGGAACTGGTTGATGGAAAGTCATAATTCCTGCCAGAAGGCAAGTCTTTACTGGGAATAGTAATTGCATTTCAGTATTCCAGTATGCATGATGAAGGAGAGAAAAATGGAGTGCCCACAACCATGTGACTGAAAATAATGCAAAGGCTGTACCACTCCCTAATAGAAGTATGAGTTAAACAAAAGAAATGTGTGGCTGGTTACAACAGTCTCACCAGGAGGTGTGCAATATGTGTGCTACACAGTCACTTCAGGGTCAGTGTGGACCAGAAGAATGTGTGAAACAGATATAGTAAGTTACAATAATTTTCGGGATGGCATTTGTTCTATAGTGGGATGAGTTGAACATGTGCCTACAGAGGGAAAGGAAGAAGACTTTGCAGTCTGTTGCACAGTACAAGAAAGATACAGTTTAGAGTATTCGGTCTTGTTTTGCATGGGTTGATTATGAGTGAAACAAGGCATTCACAGTTAGAAGTAGCTTTAGAATTGCTAATTTCCTCCCCATCTAATAGATTTTTCACAGCAATTACGATAATGCAAATAGTAGTGGGGCTCTTTCACCCACCCACAGAAATGATTCTCCAGCTTTTCCTAGTATTTGAGGCATCCCTGTGCATGATCGTTCCATGAAGCTGTTTCCCATTTACACTAGGGAACAAACTCTCTGGAGCCTATCTGGAAGAGCTGTATGTTTCTGCAAACAGACCCCTGAGCTGTTATCTATAGTAAATGGCTTTTTAAAAAAATAAATGATAGATGCTTACAACTGAATTTTTTTCTATGTAAAAAACATTTTTAAAACATTTCCAGAATTAGCTAGTAGAAGGATGCTTGGCTGTAAAATACATTCTTTCACAGCTAAGTTAATGAGATCCAATAACTGGAATTTTACAAAATTGCATATTTTAGCTTCTCATTTTGAACTGCTTTGTTAGGATTTGGGCCACATTTGAATAATAATAATAAAAATTATTTATACCCCGCCACCATCTCCTGGAGGAACTCAGGGTGGCTCACAAAGCACTCAAAGGTGCAAACACGCAAAATACAAAAATTGCAGAAACAATAACATAACAATAACAGCCAACATAAATATCTCACTTCACAAAAACCCCTGGTAAAATCAATAAAATAGCTGAAGTTATAAACAACAATAACCAATCTCAATCGTGTAAAGTGCTTGGTGAAATCTATGGGTTGTAATCACTGCATCACTATTAGAGCTCTTTGAGAGCCCAGGCTCTTTGCTTTTTGTCTTGATTATAAAATGTAGTTAATTGCCACACAGTCTTGGTACCTGTAAATATTAGTCATGCCATTTTACCTGAAATTATTTCAGAACTGGTCTCACAGTGCTTTTTTAATTGCCTGAAAGTAACTTCAGCTCTCCACCGACTTCAAAAGGGAATCATGAAATGACTGTGAACCATGACTCACAGATAGAGGAGTATCTCATCTGCTGCAGCATTCTCAATTAACCTTTCTTTCATCCTTTTTCTTTAGCAGAGAAAACTGCTGAAATTAAAACTAGTTTAATTAGTTGTTTTGGATGTGGTCAGTAAAAGGAGAAAATGGTCTTTAAAGAATTGATGGGAGAAAGTCGACTCAACTATACCTACTGATTCCTGGTCCATCTCCAGTTCTGAATAAATATTCTCTAGTTGAAGCAGAGAAAAATTTGGAGAAAGGTTGCATCTTTGTGTCTAATCTATTCAGTCAGTCTGACAATGCTTTATCTGTGCATTATCAGCTACACAGGTTCTCCTTTAATCTCTGGATCCAAATTTTTGGTCCACTTTTAAAGCTCTAAATATGTTGGGGTCAGATTTTCTGAAAGACTACATTCTCTAATGTGTTTCTTTTGATCTTCAATGTTCCTGCTCTGAATATTCAAGCCATGTAAAATTTGATGAGGGCCTTTAGCGTTAATTTAGAAACCGCCTTCTCAGATCAGGTTGCCTTGTGGCATTTGCATGGATTAGTCTTCACCAGGTGAAGACCTTTTTGGTCACCGGGGCCTTTAAAACATGTTTTATGATTTGGACTGCTGTTTCTTAGGCCCCTTCCACACAGCTGTAAAAATAAAAAATCTACACTGAACTGGATTATATGGCAGTGTAGACTCAGATAATCCCATTCAAAACAGATATTGTGGATTATTTGCCTTGATATTCTGTGTTATATGGCTGTGTGGAAAGGCCCTAAGTCTGTGCTTCTGTGGGCACAGCAACCAACATCCACCCCACAGGAAGCACCCAGCAGAAAACATAAATTTTGGGATAACAAAAGGCTACAACTTGTTTATTGGTTACAGCTGATGACAAGGGTTGATAGCAACACAGGTGTCCTGGATCCAACATCGACCAGGCCAAGTAGAGGCCTCAACACTATTTTGTAACATGCCTGCAATGACAGTGGGGCGTGCTGCATAGGTGCCCATCCTGAACCAGTCTGGGCCCACCTGTGTGGCCACTTCTTCCAATAATAGCAGGAAAGAACAGTTCAGAGCCTGGAACAGAAGGGCACACAGCAGGGAAAACGAATTCAGTTCCCATGCTACCCCCCCCCCAAACTTGGGGGCCCCCAAGTTGTGACAAGGCAGGATGAACAGATACCAACACCAGCCAAATGAGTAGGGAGGAGTATTTATCGTATCAGAAGCAAACCAAGAGTACAGTTGTAATGTATTTAAAAACACAAACAAAGTTTAAAAACTTGGCATTATATTAAATGTCCTTTGACCAGTAGCTGGCCAAAGGGAGTGGGGAATGCTTGAAGATGACTCAACTTGGAAGCTCCAGCAAGCTTTTATGCAGGGGAGGCAGACCAGAGGGTGAAGGTTCTCCCTCGGGTCCATTCCCCTCCAGCCACTTGGCTGATTTTTCCATACCTTCTCAGCCAGGCACACAGGAAAACAAGGCTTGTTGAAAAGGAGAGAGCCAGACAGAAGGGAAGTCAGCAGTCAAGTAGGGCATTTTCATAAAATCATAGAGTTGGAGGAAACTACAAGGTCCATCTGATCCAACCCCTGCTATGCAGGAACACACAAAGCATTTTAATAATGTTCAGAGTTAGACAGGGAAACGAGTAAGAATGACTGAGAAAAGTAATCCAGCTGTCCTTTTAACTAATTTCCCCTATCTATGCCACATTTTGACAGGTTTCTGCTTGTTCTGTCTATTGTGAATCTGTTAAAGGGCCAATAAAAGCTATCTTAGTGTTTATATTAGCACAAAAGAAAGTAATAAAAAAGAGAATGAACCTGTAAAAATAAATTGGCAGTTCATTTCTGAAAATAACTTTTTGGAAGGCTTCCTGTTTTTTAAAAGAGGCAAGAACTTCAGAAACTTGCTTTGTTATGCTAAACTGCAAGATTTGTAATATTGGCAGAAACCCTGGCAGACAGGAGTATGTTGTTGTCATAATACTGTGAAGAACTTAATTTTCTTAGGACATAGGAAACTATTTTAGGGATTGTGTACAAAAGATTATTTTGAATTTGTCTCAGCAGAATCAAAATAGAAAGCTTGTGATAGCCCTTTCATCATGTCTTGTGACTGCTTACAATAATACCAGGCTTTTAAAATTTATCCTGCTTTCTTTCTATTGGTTGACTTTTCTCAGCTTTTGAAACAATTGTATGATAAAATAACTGTGTTTTAAGAGGACAGCAGTGTTTCGAACCATTCTGACTTCTGCCCTCTTCGCTTTTTGGGTTGTGGCTGTTGGCTATGCAGTCTTTTTTTCTACCTAAAATAATTATAGGCTAATATTCAGTTCAGAAGTCACTAGTTTGACTTTTAATATTGTTTTTGTTCCAATTTGCAATTGTGATCATCGCAATAACCAAAACTACCCTTCCCCCTAACTGCAAATACTACTTTTAAAGCTTTACAGCCCAACAACATATATTGAGTAATGACATGTTCAGCCCTAGCCCTGTCATGGATTGTGCTGAGACAAGCAGCTGCAATGGGATTTTGACAGGATCCATAGGGTTCTTCGTAGCTATTCTTCTCAGGGCCCTTCCACACAGCCTATAACCCACAATGTCAAGGCAGATAACCCACAATATGCTTTGAATTGGAGTATATGGCAGTGTGGACTCAGATAACCCAGTTCAAAGCAGATATTGTGGGATTTCCTGCCTTGATATTCTGGGTTATATGGTTGTGTGGAAGGGCTCTTATACGTGTGTGTGTGTGTGATGCATCTATACTGTAGAATGAATGCAGTTTGACGCCACTTCAATCGCCATGGCTCATTACTATGAAACCAAGTTATTTACAACAAAAAAAAAAACAGCTGTGTGTTAGGGAAGATTTGAGGCCCCTTCCACACAGCTGAATGAAATCCCACATTTTCCACTTTGAAATGGAATATATGGCAGTGTGAACTCAGATAACCCAGTTCAGAGCAGGCATTGTGGGATTTTCTGCCTTGATATTCTGGGTTATATGGCAGTGTGGAAGGGCTCTATGTATGCCCCACAGCTAGAAGAGGGATGAGCATCGCCATCCCAGTCCTTTGCTCCTTTTGAAGTGGATGGGATGGGAAGTTGAGAATTGTGAGGCCTTAAATATAAGATTTTGGGAGTAGCTGCATCTCATGATGCAGTCATAGGCATCTTGCAGAGCCCGTGAACATTACTTTAAAAACTTGCTTTCCCTTATTCTTAAAGTATTTTTCAAAAAGCTTTTTTAGCACATTAAAATTGGAATCATTTGCATTCTCCCCGTTAAGCTGTCAATCTAGGCCACAAAGCATAAAATAAGGCATTAGTTATGCACAGTGTTTTTAGCTGAGATTTAAAAGAAATCCTTTGGATGAGATTAATTTGCCACTTGCACAGCAGCATTTGGGGCAGGGGAGCACATCGCAGGTTAATT